CCTATCTAACTTATCGCTAGGAAAGAAGAAAAGGAATCTCATAATTAGCGTATGTATAAAACTATCAAGAAATCTCGAAATTCTGGGTTTTCTAAGAGAACAAATACTTTCGAAAAATTTAGGAGAAAGTCCGTGGACTGGAAATAACTCGCTATCAATTATCCGAAGATATCCGAATATCTCACTTTTCAAGCCCACGTTAATTCGCTTCATTTTTGAGGGGAACCAACATTAGCCGCGCGACTGTTATTTTTTTGCGCCTGGGTATCTCACGTTATGCTTACGCGTATCCCCAAGTGTGTCTTACATCCTACGCTTACGCAAAGGTTATATACCTAGAACGATGGGGTATGTGATATATTCACCCGGTACCGCCCCGAGGGCTACGTGTGTAAGACTGTTCCTTTTCAGATTTTCAATAGCAATGCAAAAAACCATAGCTTTCAGTTAGTGCAAACGGCCTTTCCTTCTCGTTTATTTTCTTTTCCTTTTTTTTCTCAAAAAACGCATTTTTTTAAGGTGCGAGGGGCGCGATCATTGGTTTCACCGCTCGAGCGTTCCAGGCGGACGCAACTATACGGCTTGCAATCTTCTTTAAAGAGTTGCTCAAAAATATGAGTGAAATTTATCTCCATGGCAGACTCACAGCTAAAGCGAAGACGGTATGGTTAGAGCTACGTCCCCTTTGCTCCATTTCAAAATTCCCCCCCTCCCCCTGCCAGAATCATTAGGGGCGCTTATACGGGCGCGCTTCAGTCGTACTTGACATTTTCTATCAAACTGCTCACTTTTTTCTGGCTTGACATAAGCCTATATTTTTCCCAGACGTTGCTCAGAAATGAAAAACTTGCTCGAGGTTGCCAGAACTACTGAAAGCTTTGCTTTTAACACCAGAGGTGCTCTAAAATTATGCAGGTTTTCTAGCCCCGCTATGTCCAGTCTGAAATGTTCTGCGTTTCTTCGCCCCACCCCGAAACGGGCTGCCGACCCTTAGAGGGTGGAGGGAAGGGACGGATGACATTTATGCCAGGAATTAGCACTTTTTTCCCCTAAATGTCATTTTTCTAAGGATACAAGTAAGGAATTCATAATCGTATTTCAAAATGTAAGCAGGCGTTTATGTAAAGTAAGAGAATATAAGGGCCAACCACTTCATAGTCTGTTGTGGGAAATATGTTTTTAGTCTTACGTTTTCATAATCGCTCTAGCGGATAAGTCAGTGAAACTAAGGATTTTGATTATTTACATGTTTTGCTTTTTATAGTTACAGAAGACACTGCGTGAGTGTCTTTTTCGGAATGGTATCTGTCTTCGCGGTATAACCTGGGTCTAAAAGTTCTTTGTCACGCAATCTCATTTCGTTAAAGGCGGTAAAGGAGTCGGTTCTGTTGTCAAATAATGTGAGGTAGGTCAAAACGTTTTCCTTTTTATAGCTATAACGATTCGGTTCATGAGAAATGAGAGCATTTTAAAGAATAGCTACCGACACTAAAAGCCGTTTTGTAGATACATGATAACTGTTACAAATACGGCAAAAAGTAAACAAATACGCACGTAAGGGATGTGTTGTAGTCAAGAAGTTCATAGCACACTTTCGCACAATAAAATTGTTTTTCCTTTTGATAATTTACCACTGTGAAATCTAAAATCGTTTTTGGTGTTTAAACTGGCGGAAAAGGGGCGAATTTGCGCCAGAGTTTCAAGTGCTGTTCTCCCTTGTATTCATCAATACAACTAAAGTTCAGACGTAGTAAGTCACGTGAGTACCGTAAATGTTTTCCGTTGTAAAAACTCGCGGTTTCAATTGCCCCAGAATTTTATTTCACAGATTGATAGGGGAAACATTGCTCTTTCTCTGGAATACCATTTTTCTAATGAAAGCCATGTACCAGGAAGGGATTTTCGCCGTTGAAAATGGCAAAATTGATGGTCGCGATAATGCTGATTTAGAAGGTAATTTTTGAAAAAATATTAAAAATCAGATTGAAATCTTTTGAAATTGTAACAACGTTTAGGTAGAAAGGAAGGATCATAAATTGTTTAATGTAAGAAAAGTTATGGTATTAGTTTCCGTTTCCATTCACGAAGCGAGGGTATCAAGCACATTTTTTTTGTGGTTTGAGGCCTCTCGAAGGTGAAAATTAAAAAATTATTATTTTGGAAAATATTGAGTCAAACGAACTGAGTCTTGTATTTTCTAAATAGTTTCCACATGGCTTTGTTGGGACAAAGTTTGGGAATTTCGACTTTTCCATCTTGCACACCTATACGTGGTATTTACAGAAAGTCGCTCTTTAATAGCCCCACAGTTCTTTTTTTTGTTTTTCATTCTAGGTCAAATATAAGGTTCTTTTTAATGAATTATTTGACTTTGTACTTACTCATTTCACCGTTCAACACCCAGTCAGTGTAAAATTACTGCGTGATAACTAGTTTTATTTCCTTAACTTTATACGATGCAATTTTTGAGCAATACGTAACTGAACGAAGTACCGAAAAA